TACATCGAAAACGATCTTTCTACGTCTACCGAAGTTTTCGGGGCGTATTTCCTACTTAAATAATTATCTAAATTAAGATTGCTACTATTGCGAATAATAAAACCCATTTGTAACGATAATACGCAAGCTGTGTATAAAATTATAAAATCAACTTAAAAATTAAACACAAAATAGGCATTTATAAGTACAAAAGGTAAAAAAAAAGGCAAAAAGGCATTTATAAGTAAAAAGGCAAAAAAGGCAAAAAAAAAAAAGATCTATCCTCTAAGAAATTAAATGAAACACATTTTTGTATAAAAATTATTTTTCTATTATGATTAATAAAAGAAAGGCATTTGCTTTCAAATCCGAACCCTAATTATAACTTTGAAAAAAAAATAACATTTCTTTCAAATTTCAATTGAAAAGCCGTAAATTCCATATACGTCTTAGAGGAATGAACTCATTTTAGAAAAAAAAAAACATTGTATTTGCATACCAATTTTCCTAAAACTATCAGTAATTTTTGGTAAAATTATGAACTACTTGTTTTTAACTACGAATCGACTGTGGTTTTGTCAACATTTGAACTTTAAATCATAGATAATATATAATGGATAGGCCATCCCTATACTTAACACACGGGGGCAGCGTTCCCAAAGTTTCGGTATACGTCCTATCTATACCATTGTTACCAGTAGTTACCAATAATAGTAACCATTTTGACTTATCACAATCTACTAATAATTTTTATCAAATAAATATTATTTGCTGTTTGAATTTTTAATCATTCGAATAATTGAAATTTTAAAGTTTGAACAGAAGTATGTTAACATATTATTGTTTCCAATTATAAAGGTACAATAATTATTAATTATTAATTTATAATTTTTTTGTACTCAAAAATTAAATAAAAAATAACTTTTGGATTTTATAATAAATAAATTACCCCATATCGTATCATCCAGGAACGCTTATGGAAAGCTGATGGCCTCTATCCATTATGTATTATCTACGCTTTAAATGCTTATAAAAAATAACCATGGCCATGTATCGTTAATATTTTAGCTATAAAATAAAAACTTAATATTATGTATTAGGTACATTTTTAAGCTTTTTGACCGGATAAATAATTTTTTATTGACATTTATAGAAAAAACATTTAAATTAATCAGACACAACCTAAGTTAAGACGGTCTAACCAAGGTTACCGAACAATTTTAACAATTTTAATTTTTTTTCTCCAATTATTTTTATTGGTACTGAAAATGTTCAATTTCGACCTCCTAAAAGTAATAACTAATTTGCTTCCAATAACATCCATCGGGCATCGAAGTTTATGATCAGAGCATTTTTTCTACCAGAAAAGTTGAGAAGTTGAAGTTGCACAAATATTTTAAAGTACCTCAAATCAACGTTCCTAAATTATTAGACTGAACAAAATAAAATAAAATTGGTAATTTATTTTCAAGCTTGCGTACGCCACTGATATTCCTAATATAACCAACAGCAAACTGTCTTGCTGGTATTATGGTAGGTCGGTTAGGTCGGTTGTTTTGCATTTCTCCGTCCCAACGTTTTACTAATATACCGACGTTAGGAGGGAGAAAAACAAATGTGAGAAAATTAAGAGTAGAAAAAATGCAAAAACAAATAACTTGGATAACTACGACTTGATTTGTGGACGCCGAGTAACTTGTTTTTTTCCTGTAATTGTGAAAGTCTTAATCATGTTTACAACATAGCAAAACTTTTTTGTTACGTACAATTGTATTCCCTCTGTATTCTCTGTGTTCTCATATTAGAACAACCACAGAATTTAACGACGCACAGGGAAGGACTTTACCTGTGTCGTATAGTGCTTTTATTGTTTGAATAACATTTTTTATTTTTTTTTTATATGTTATTATGTAAATATACACAATCTAACCTAACCAGCAGGCACAATAAGAGGATGGGCTATATAAAAAGAAAACATGAACAATTTGAACGAAGAAGCAACCCATTAACGACACTCTCGTGTCTGGATAACATGAATACATTTAAAGTCATCAGTTCGAGCACATTAGGTTTTTTTGTTTTTTTAAATTTAAATTTAATTATTAAATATTATTGGTTAGTACGACACAGATAAAGTTCTTGCGCATTTGGAATTTCGGTAATTTTACTATGAATATAGAGCGAGTAAAATTGTCAAACTTCTCTAAGGTAAACAGTTTTTGCTATAATGTTCATTTGTAGGACGGAGACATCACATGCATGTGTGACGTACTCTTAATCGATAAAAGTATTAGATAAAATCTAATGAAAAATTGTACTCTAGTGTCATGACGTAATAGGTACTGTATATCGTGATTAAACATTAACTCGTTGGGCCGGATAAAATGTAGGTATAATGTTATTCCAATCATTGTTATCAATGTCTTTTGGATATTTTTTAAATTATCTAAAATTAAATCGGCCCACCTTGGCACATTGAAATGTAAAATATAAAATATTTTATTTTCATTATTAAAAAATCAAAATAAACTATATTTTAGGTATTGCAAGCATCTATAAATTATGCATATTATTATGCATTTTTTTTTTTTAAATATTCATTAGACCGAAATTCATTTCATTCGTCAGGTCATTCGGCTACAACTATTGTATTAATATACCTATAATATTACATAGTGTACCTACATATAGTTTATTTTAAGTGTTATAAAATTGTATTATACATAAGTAGGGCTGAGGACTTCTACTTTTCATACTTGTCTAGGAAGCTCACAGAAAAATGTGAGTGAGGTATAAATATGTTTGAGTTACACTGAAAATCTTACACTCAATATTTTTACATAATATTTTGTCGTTATTGCATAATATAAATACATATTTGAGCATATTAGAAAAAATGAGAACACATTTTGCCAGTTTTCGATCTAATAAAGTCAGTTTGGATAAATAAGAAAATTATTTGAAAATTTTTTAAAAACTTTAGGTGTAAAATGTTATTCTTTGAAAAATTAAGATATGTATAATATATTGAGGGAAATGTATGAAATCGGTCATTGTTATGCGATGCCCGGACAAGGTGTACCCCACCCGGATTTGAGTGGGCAAAGTGAATTAATTACTGCACACATTTATGTCGAATCGTATTTATACTTAACTGTAACGATAACACTACAAAACTATTCTTGCATATTTTATTCGTTCGATACCACGACTTACGAGTCACGAGACCACCAGCTACCTAATTGTACGTAATATACGCGATGACGGCTGCAAGTAACTATAGGGATGGGAATTTTTAAGTAATTTTTTTTTCTGTGAATGTACGTCATTTTTTACTTGTACTGTATAATATTTTAGATTCTGAGAGGAGCTAGAAAGCTAGTGGTTTTACAATGATGTTTATTTATTTTTTTTATATCCTGTATACAAAATTTCTACCAGAAGGAGTGCTTCGATTTCAACACATAGTACCTTATCTTTTAGCAAATTGGATAGAGATGGTATTTTAAAGACTTCATTTTTCAAATATTTATCATAAAAAACGAGAAACTTTAACACCACATACCTACTTTGCAAAAAAGTACAGCATTGTCACAAGAAAAAATGTCTTCACCAAATTATTTTACAAAATTGCGGAGACGAGCACTACAATTAATAATTTTCGGCATTTTGTAAGTGACAATCGGTAAGAAATAAGAATAACGAACTATACGGTGTTACAACGAAAACTAAACTGTAATTCTGAGTAGATAGGTAATTTCCAGAGCAAGAGCATATTTTTGTGTTTATTGTCCTATCAAGATAAATTAATAATCTACTGTATATATGTATCTAAATTACATCGATAAATAAATCCATAAATCAAACATAACGAGATAAAATCGATTACAGCCATTACCTTTGAAAACACATTATTTAATGTAAAAATAAAAATTAACATTTCAAACACGATTATTCAGAACACATTTTGAAAAAATGTACCTACCAAAAAAGCATAAATGTACAAAAAACGCAAAAAAGCAAAACAAAAACAAAATACAATTTCATGCATAGTAGTATGGTAGTATAAATCGAATTTGTAGCTGATATAGCTTCGTTTTAGAGCAATAGAAAAAAGGGAAATGCCTTCAAAATCCGTACACTAATTATAAGTAAGCATTGGCGCAAACGGGGGTGCCAGAGGGTGCTTAGCACCCCTTACTTATGTTAGTTATATCGAACTAAAAATATTGTTTAAAGTAAATCAGAGATGATGATGTTCAAAAATGATTGTCTTAGTAATAATTATTTGCTGGGAGATCTCATGGGCATGATATAAATATAAGTAGGTACAGTAGGTAACTTATATTTATATAGTGCATTCTGGAGATATGGAAGTCACTATAGCGTTGTTGTGCATATAAAAACAATTGACCGGGAAAAAAAATTATCGGTAAAATTTGCGTAAATTTACTGAGCTCCCATCTCTACCCATAATACCATCCGATCCGTAATTTAACGACAAAGTGATCACATCGTATATTGCGCATTTTCGAGAACACTAAAATTTTGCGAACACCATAATCTAGATAATTTTTCATGATTATCGAATGCAGTAGTAATGTAGTCACTCGATAATTCGAACCTCGATAATTCGAAAAACTCCATAAATCGAACTAATTGCCTTTTCGTACTTATTCAAGTATCGTTAGGCAAGTTTTTCGTCCTTCCCCTGAGAAAACCTCAACAATTAGAAAAAAATACATGTATTCCGGTCACCTCGAAAATTCGAAATGTTCGTCGGTGAGGCACACTCTACAATTCGAATTTTTTTTTCACGAATCTCTATAATTCGAATTTCTTTAAACACGATTATATGTACGTTCATATGTATAAGGATTATGATAGTTAAATATTATCGCAGTTTAATGTTATCGTATCTTACCTACCCAATCTATACCAAAATAAACCTCTGCTATGGGTAAACCGTTATTGAAATTGAACAAACGTAATCAGTCGTAGCTAACGTAGTCAGTCGCAATATGGGTCCCGTAAAAGTGTACAAGTGTTTGTCGATAGCCGACAAACAAAAAGTGATCGCAGCAGTTGAAGCAGGTGAAAAAAAAAAGATGTTGCTCTACGTTTTGGTATACCAGCTTCTACGCTTTCAACAATACTAAAACAAAAGGACCATCTTACAACATTAACACCTTATTCATCGCGGATCAGACAGAAAAAATGTGAGTACCCCGATCTGCAAGAATGTCTTATGGCTTTTTTTACTCAAAGTAGGCAAAATAATATTCCAATATCAGGACCTATCTTAAAAGAAAAATCTAAGTTGTTTGCTACCAACTTAGGTATCACAAATTTTCAAGCTAGTGAGGGTTGGTTAGAAAAATTTAAAAAACGTCATGATTTAACTTTCAAAAAAGTATGTGGAGAGAGTGCAAGTGTTGACCCGTGCATTTCACAAGATTGGAAAAATGAGTTAATCAATATATTGGTTGATTATGATGCTAGGGATATTTTTAATGCCGATGAGACCGGACTTTTTTACAAATGTTTACCAGATCGCACTTTGACATTTAAAAACGAAAAATGTCATGGTGGTAAAAATAGTAAAGAACGGATAACAGTGATGTTGGCCGCGAACATGGATGGATCCCAGAAACTTAAGCCCTTAATGATCGGAAAATTTGCTAACCCACGCTGTTTCAAAAACGTAAAATCTTTCCCACTAATGTACCGGTCAAATAAAAAGGCGTGGATGACAGGTGTATTATTTACAGAGTGGTTGTTATGTATCGATGTAGATATGAAAAAGGCAAATCGAAAAATTTTGATGTTCGTTGACAACTGTACCGCACACAATAATATTCCTCATCTTGAAAATATAAAAATTCATTTTTTACCTCCCAACACTACATCAACTCTCCAACCAATAGACCAGGGAATAATAAGAAAATTTAAAAAAAATAACAGATTTCTTTAAAATGTAATAATATTAAAAATAAATGTAAAATATAATAATATGTATGTATAATAAATAAATATCTATTAATAGTTTTAAAATATACATTGTAATAATATTTATAATAAGTAAATGTAAAAATAAACGTAATACATACATACATTATGTACAATTTTCCACCTCTCTTTAATTCGAATTAATTTTTTTCCCTCGATAATTCGAACACTCGGTAAATCGAAAACCTCTATAAATCGAATTTTTAACTCGGTCCCCTGAATTTCGAATTATCGAGTGACTACTGTAATATTGTCACGACGTCCGATAGTCCGTCATTACTATTTTACATGTATTATTATTAAGTAATACCAATCGGAGTAAATTTGGTCGACTTTGTAACTAAAAGTGCCATAATAGTTGTGTGTGTGTGTGTTAATAAATAAAGTAATAAGATGCTATCTTACTTGCCTAAAATTAATAATTTTTAGTAATAATTAATCAAATTAAAACTATTAAAATAACTATAATTTAATAATAAATAATATTCATATTGTTCATGTCAAACCACTATTAGATAAAAATATGAATTCTTCAGCAGGAGGTACCTACCATACTGGATAATAGATTTAAAAACTGTTAAACGCAACAACTAATATAATATTATGAAACGTCTATTTCAAGTTTTTATTATGATTATTTAATAATGCAGTAAAATGTCTTATTTGATTTTTAATATATTCAATATTTGACCTACAGTGCCCAAATCGTAGCATTTAGGTGGATTATCTGTCCAATAACACGTGTGACAGGGAGTGTTGATTCAAACTAACTTTTATATTTTCGTTTTCATATTAACTGTATAGTAAAAGTCTGCATATTATAAACATTTTTAGAGCATATTTTGAGTGCAAATTTGTTGTTTTTTTAGTGCGTAAATGCATACATATTTTCAGGTTTATAAGTACTAAAAGTCCCTACATATAAGTAACGGAAAATATTATGTACTATTATTGATTAGTCTACTTTGACTAATACCGTTGTTGAAGTCTGAGATTCTGTCGTGGACACAAAACCAACGCTATACAAAGTGTTAGTGAAACAAAAAGTGGATATCCAAGCATGACACCAAATACAGATGAAATGTGATATGTCACATTTGAACGTAAGGTCTTTGGAACGCCTGCAAGTCTCTAAGGAGAGATATTAGCCTAAGCTGATATTTTAATATTATTAAAACATATTTTAAACAATGTTGTAAATATTTTATGAGCTTTATGAGGACATTTCGGGAATGGAATTTTTCAGAAAATAATTGTATTTTTTTTTTTTAACTTGAACCGAAACGACGTCGGCTCATAAATACTATGCTTATAATGTATGGTATTTAGCACAGAAGTTCACTCGGAGTTTTGGACTTGGTATTTTGATATTTAAAAACTATAAAACCACAACTTACCAACACCTAACTATAATTATTTATTATTTTATACTCAAATACTTTCTCAGAAGTATCTACAATTTGTGCATAATATAAGATTCATATCGGCCATAGGTAGAAATATTATTATGGAGTTGCGTCACCCATACGTCGAATGCATTTACGTTTTAGACCATTCCATTACAACAATATTATATAATATCGGACTTGCAACTACTCACTGAAGTATAATATTATGCAATGTTCATTCGGATAAAACATATTATTATATTTTGTGACCGACATAAAGTCCTCTGCCGTCGACCGTTTGGCTCTCAGACGTATTATTATTGGGTATAGGTATTATACAACAGTGTTGTATAACCATATTTTATTTATAATATGGAATAAAATGCAGAGAAGAAAACGCGTGCTACACGAACCAACAAAATATATAGTTATCATCGGGCTAAGAGGCTAGAAGTTGTAAGTCACAAACTCTAGTTTTTACAGGTGGGTAGTTTTAAGATTTTAAATTCTTTCAAACCGAATGACAATAATTTTAGTTTTTCAGTGTTAAAACTGATTTATTTTGTAAGATATACCGTAGATTATGGTGTATTCTTAGTTCGTCGACACCCATTTTTCCGATTCACCCGATTCACCGACAACCAATTTGACAAAGTACAGTTACAAAACTTACAACTGATCTTCTCACTTCGTTAAAAGCTCGAGGAATTGGTTTCGTTGGATTTAGTGTATCAACATCCTATAACAAAAATATTCTTGGTTTTTAATTTTGTGAAATTCTCCGAAAAATTGATTCTTAAGTCCAGGGCTGGAAATCCATTTTAAATAACCATTATAATCGTTAAAAAACTTTTAAAAATCAAAAGTAACATTAAAATCGTGAACAAATATGCAAAAATACACAAAATAAAAATTTGCAATATTATTTATTGAAGTTTGAGCTATGAAAATCTATTTACTATATGTAATCGCCTATAAAAATACGAATAATATATGATAATATTTAATATAGTTGTTTACTTTTCATTTGTTTAAATGTTTTAATATTGCACGACCACCGCAATTATCCACACATTTATGATATTCATTGTCTCCACATTTCCGGTCTATTCTGTGAATATAATTGTTCACTACAAGTAAGTCCTGATTTTTTCCTGACTTAACTTTAAACCATCCCACGACAGCAGAAAAAAATTAAATATGTGGAAATAAATTGTGTTGCAGTACCTAACGCAGTGAAATATAACTACAAACTAAAATCATAATCAATATTTGAAATCCACAGTGGACTTACTTATATATATTTTAAAATATATTAAAAATGATATAAATGAAAATAATTAATTGTAAATTATCAGGTGATAGATACCTATAATACTATCTTATAAGCACCATTAAATAAGTTTACAGATATCGTAAAGAGAGATAGCCGATAGGTACCTTACACTCAAGATAAAATAAATGTACAGATTATGATAGTACTATAGTTTTATTGCGATGTCACAATATCATGTCGTCAATATCATTTGTTGTCGGAAAATTTTGCTTTTTTTTTAAGCTATTAAAAACAGGTTTTTATTAAAAACAAATTGGGTGTCGGCAAACTGGGCATAAACCACAGAGTACAGATAAATGACTAATTTTAGGTCTTCAATTTTTTTCAAACCTAATAATAAGAGTTATCTCTATAATATATAAAATAGAGTTCGAAAAAATGTTAGACCATTTATAACTCAAGAATGGCAGGAACCGATTTCAAAAATTCTTTCATCATTAGAAAGCTACATTATCCCAGAGTGTTGTATGCTTATCTAAAAAGGGGAAATCAAAACGCGGAGAGGTGCTCAAACAGGGATTTCGAGATCTACGATCAGTTTTATTACTTATCTGGATAAATTTATCTAGATAAATTATCCAGATAATTATTTTTTTATCTTTTCTAGATAAATAAATATAAGTTATTTAAGTATTTATTTTAGACAAAAATTTAACTTATCTAGATAAATTTACAAGATAAATTTTTTGGTGAAAATGAGCTAGATCTGTTTCAAAATGTTTCATTTTTATTCTCATTATCTCAGGCACAACTTGTACCCACGTAAAATTTAATTTAATTTAATTTTCTGGATAATGTTTATATTTTATTTTAACCTGTAATAAATATTATTTCTAAAAATATTATTGACTAGGTGTATTTTGTTTTTGGTCCACTCGACACCTACTTTACAGCAGGGTGACTTCAGCCATTTTTATTTATACTTTGTTAATCGCTTGAGTCATTTGGATCTTATTGGTTAACTATATAATATGTGTTGAAGTTAATTTTTGGTGATACACAACGTCATGATATAATAAACTAAGTCGAAAATAAACATATTATATAGGCATGTACTGATGTACTTACATGACGGTATATATGTTTTTCCAAATTAGTTGTTTTAATTTTTATAATTATCTGCTATATATCTAGATAAAATATTTTTATATTTTATCTTTTAGTTAGATGAATTTAATTTGTTTATCTTTTATCTGTATCTTAGATAAAATTTAGTGGTGTTAAATGATTTATTGTTATTTTTTTTTGGTCCCTAACACTGTCTACGATGGAAAGCTTTGTTTAAAAATGGTTTGCTATTGGTTAATCGGGCAGATCAGTTACAATAGCATGTATCGAATCGAATTTTTGCACATTGCCTATCAGGGTGGCTAAGTTGCACTTACAGCAGTGATTTACACCAAAAAGTAGTTGAACAATCACAATTTTTTTAAGAGTTGTCATTTTTTATGGGTCACGAAGTGCGTAGGATCAGCTGTATTATATATAAGTTCATTATTGTGTACAGATCTCTGGGAAGAAGATAGGCTAATTTAAAAAGGGTTAAATTTGGTTTCTTTACTCATCGGATTTTAGTTAGGTTAGGTTAGGATTATGTATTAATTGATTATATTAATCCACCGTATTTTATCGAAACAAACTTGGTATAACTTTGATACTTTAGAGTTAAATCATACACTTATGTAAATTAGAATTTTGACAAAATTCGTAAAAATCAAGGAAATTCGAAAATCATTAGGAGTTGGAAATATTCATGTAAGTTTTTTTTTAAAAAACATCTGCAGTATGTAGTATGTATTTTAGTATTACTTGGGCTCGGAATCGATTTTTCTGAAAATCTACTTTTTTATACACTCAGGTTTAAAGATCAATGCTCTATAATTCAAGGCATTTTTGTTCTTCTTATACCTTACATTTTTATTTTAAGAAAAAAAAATTGCTAGTATTAACTCAGTTGAACTTTGTAAATTTTTAGGTGTGCGAATCATTAAAAATCATTCATTACGAAAAAAAAAAATAATAAAGTTTCAAGTTAAAAATAGTTTAAAATGGCTCTCCGGAACAATTTGATATTTTGAAATAGCACCTTTCGGTTCGGAGCCCACGATTACCTAATTTGTAATTTATGGAAAAATTAAAAATTAAAAATAAGTTAAATTGTAGTTTAGGTTTTGTTTTTATTCATCAAGTTTTTGTTCGCAGCATACTACAACAAAAAACTATTTAATCTGAAGAAAATTT